AGCAAGAGGATCTTAAAAAAAAACAAAACAAAACTGTCATGCTTACTTGCAAATAATGTCAACTAAAACAAGTTAGCCATAATGTAGTTCCTAGGGCCATTGCACATAATTATATTCAAGCGTCCAAGGTGGAAAAAAGTTTTAAAAAAATGATATATAACAACAGTATAACATTTGGGGTTCTTTAGAATCCAAAGTTTTCAAAGATGAGTACAGAAAAGAGCTTCTAGCATGTATAAAATTTGTAATGTGGTCCATGTAATGACCACAAGGTTCACCGAATGCCAATTAGTCCAAATATTATCTTACACTGTATGAGAGGAGGAGGAAAAGGACAACATGGGAAAAGTAGTCCATTATTTTTTAGGATTATTAGAGCTCACCTCTAATAACAGGATTAGTTGTCAGCAGGGAGGTGTGTCTAGAGCATAATAATGATAGCCAACCTCAAAGCTTCATAGGTGTGGAATGAATGGCATGACAGTTCATGGCACCAATACTTCAATACAAGACTGTGAAATGCACATGGAAATTGACCTGATGGTATTTGATGTTATCTATATATTCACAATGCATCATGGAGTAAAAGAAGACTGGAGGCATGGTGGTGAAGTACATGATCCTTTTTCATTTTATACTCATGTAAAAAAAAAAAAGAAAAAAGAAAAAAAAAAGAAATAAAAAAAAAGATTTGAAGAAAATAAAAAAAAAAAAAAAAAAAAACAAACCTGAAAGCATTTATTAACAGACAAATTTTTTATGCAACAATATAATTTTTGTTTTTGGCCATTTTTAGACCTCCTTTTTTTTTGAGTAAATCAAAGTCCTCAAACAGATAAAAAGTGATTGATTGTTTCATCAACATTGGCATATTAGGAGGACAATGAAATCAATATTACTAACTTGATTTGGTTATATATCTTCTGTTTATTTTGGCATTTTCCCACCCTCCCCAACTAACTGGCAAGAAGAATGATGCAACAATTTTTGTACATCATGACAAGGAGGAGGTGGATCAGTCTAAAGAAACATAACATAACAAGTAACATATTAATATTATTCACCCTTAAATTATCCTTTCTTTTTTTGTCTTAACCACCATATACAAGTGTGTATGCATGTGTGTTTAATTTTGAATAAAAACTTTAATAAAATGTCAAGTGATGATTATTATAAACCCAGTCCAATGGACGTTTTGTTTAAAAGGTTGGATTATGAAATGAGTATTGAATAACTGAGTTTTATTTATCACCGCAAGAATTTATCAAAATTTTTAACCAATCTGTAAGCCATAAACAAAGTTCAGTTTGGGCCTTTTTTCAAATATCCAAACAAATTTCTTCAAATTAGTAAGCTGATCTAAACATTATATAGGTCATTTTTAATCATGATGTAATAACATGGATAAAATGAGATTTTTTAAAAGCAATTTTTGCACTGTATTGATCTATACTAGAAATGGCTCAACAGATAATATGTAAAAAAAAATTAAGAAAATATACAGAATACTAAATTCAAAATAATTCATTAACAAATTAATTTTTTTTAAATGAAATTTAAAAATATAATTAGTTTATACAATGTTTCAAGAGACAAGACAATGCCTGGGGAGATACCAGCTGCAAGACAGTGCCTGGAGAGTGACACCAATTGCAAGACAATGCTTGGAGAGTGACACCAACTGCAAGACAATGCCTGGAGAGTGACACCAACATGATAATGTCTCAAGAAACATTAACAAGAAAATAGAATTAAGAAAATACAAGCTCTAAATACAGAGGGAAAAATCATTTTTGAAAATTTCAGAAACAAATATTAAAATTAAAAACAAATTAAGTACTTTACAAAATGGACAAAAATGTCTAAGTTGTTTTCAAATCTTACAAAATGAAATAACTCAAAAGACAAAGTAAAGAAAAACCTGGTCATCATTAAAAGAGTGTGTAGAATGACAGAATTTGTTATAGTTGAAAAATTGAGGTTGGAGTCAAAGACAGCCAAGCTGTTTGTATACAGCAGATAAGAGAAAAAAAAAAGAGATTGTAAAAAGAAATGCCTGGATAAACATTCCAAGTGAGTGGGATGCAAAAGTTCATAATTGCTTCCAAGAAAGGTGGGCCTTATTTTGGCATTACCTAAAAAGAGTGGCAGCTGGGATGGAATTAGTAGTTCATAGATAAACCATTATGGTTTTATCCAAAGAAACTGTTGGAATTTGAAGTAGACTATAAGAAAATGGCATAAATATTTTTTTTTTCTTTTTTGGTTTTAAAGTAGAAAATCCATATACTGGACCAGGAGGATTAGAAGGCGAAGGATGCCAAAGTAATTCATCTTTTTAAATATTAACAATATATTCTTTTAAATGTTTACATTTAAATTTCAAAACTACAGAAATTTGAAAATGTGCTGTAAGTGAAAAAAAAAAAAAAATTGCTTGCGTTTGCACCAAAGAGTTAAAAAAAAAAATAAAAAAAAAATATATAAATAAAAATAAAAAATAGCCATCTGGCATGTGTCCTGCCCCAGTAATGGCTGAAAGTTTGTAAATAATGGGAGATGGCGTGGTGTGTAATTAAAGATGCTCAGCTTAGACGTGCACACACACACACACACGCATGCACACTTTTGTCAAGAGATAAGCTATGGTGTGCTACAGACCACAAGGTTAACGTAGTCATTCAACCAATACAATCTGGGATGATACAGGGTTCAGAGATTTTGCTTACATTCTGAACAGATGATGCTGTGCCATGGACGGCAGTCAAGATCAACAGCAAGGGAAGTGAGAATTTTTATATGTTTGTTTGTTTTTCTTCTGAAAATCGCATTTTCCTAGCATGTTAATTGAATTTTTGTCTTTTTTATTTTTTTTTTTTTTTTGCTGCAAGGAACAGCACACTTTACAGAGCAAATGCATAAAAAAAAAAAAAAAAAAAAAAAAAGAGCCCAGGGAGATAACCAAGCCCAGTGACAATGAAAGACAGACAAAACTTGACAGAATCTGAAAGTTAAATATTTATAAAATATTATTTTTTTCATCCATATATGTACATGTTGTGTGTGTATGGAGAAAATTATATATATATATATATATATATATATATATATATATATATATATATATATATATATTTATATATGTGTGTGTGTGTGTGTGTATAAAACAGAGGGATAGAAAGAGACACACACACATACACACACATACACACACAAACACACATATATGAATGAATGGATGTGTTTGTAGACTATTATGTTTTAGTTCAGTGTTAAGTATGAGAAGATATTTTTCCAGAGACTGAACAAGAAATGGGCGGATGAAAAGTCATAAAAATGAAACAGAATTGTTATGTTACAAGAATTGAATATCTTCCTAGTAATAAGTGATGAGAATAAGAGAGAGAATGATATTCTGACAACAAATTCCTGAGATGAATGTTTGATATAAAAGTTTGGAAAAAAATGTGTGTATGTGTGTCAATAGTTAAGAAAATGGTGTTTATGATTGAATGGAAGAAGTTTGATTATGATGATGATAATGATAAGGAAGATGATATGGGATTGGTGTTAGATGATGGGAAAGGGAGAAGAAAAGCAATTGCTACCCTTTATCTTAAAAAAAGAACAAGGCAGCAAAGGGCAAGCATGAGCATAAGGAGCAAAGGTTTTTTTGTTTCTGTTTTTTTTTTTTGTTTTTTTTTTTTTAAAAAAAAAAAAAAAAAAAAACTTTTGTCCAAAGAATTTAACAAAAACAATTGGTGGGAGGAGAAGGAAATCTACATAAATCTACAGAACAAAGAGAAGGTGGTTTTGATTGAACAGCTAAATAGACTTGGGATGAATGAAAAACAGTTAAAGTCTGTGTGAAAACTATGTAAATATACAATTGTCTTTTTATGTTTGTACATTGTAAAAGTGGTAAATAAGAGAAACAGAACTTTAAGCTTAATAAAAAAAAATGGGGTGGTAAGCATTAAATCTAAATGTATATTCTGAAGAGAAAATGGTAGGTTTTATCAAATTTGAATTTCTGTTGGTCTTTCTGCATATAGATCAATAATTGGACAATTAATATTTGTGTACGCAATGTATATGTAAAACAGGTGTGAAACTGGTTGTAGTTATAAGAGAGTCAAATGAGAAAATTTGAGGCTACTTTTTCAGAAATAAGAAAAACTCAATTCTGAATGAATGAATAAGATGATATAATAATAATAATAATAATAGGAAAAGAAAGAAGAGTCATGAGTGGCTTATCTGCTGTCCATTCCACACCTATGGGATATCTGTCCAGGCTGTACAACATACAGGTATTCAATGAGTAAAGAGGGGGGAAAAAAACAAAAAAACAAAGGAAAGAAACAGGTTATAAAAATATATAGAATTGGTAAAGTGAAGCCCAATGAAGTCTTCAATGATACATATACATGTATATATATATATATATAATATATATATATGTACAGCAAAGATTTGTTTCTTTGTTTCGTTTAATAAGAATTCAAAACTCCCAAGTCTCTTCTTGGCTAGCTGTAAGATTCTTTTGGATTTTTTCTATACTGGCAGATCGATCAAATTCCTCCCATTCCTCGTCAGCTGAAGAGATTCGTTTCTGCAGTTTCTGAATTTTGCTGGCTCGATCAGAGAATTTTGAGAGCTCACAATCTTCCCTGTCATTGTTCTCTTCTAAGTCCTTGTTTAATTCAGCATTATTCAGTTTTTTGTTGTCATCCTTAGACAAGTTTTCCTGGTTATGTGTTTTATCAAGCTGAGTTCCTTCAAACACCCACTGTGGATTGGCTCGCTTGCGCTTATTAACCACAGAAGTGTTGGTTGTTTGCATTGAAGCAGTGTTAACCTTATTGTTATTGTTATTATTTTTACTGACCGAATCCTGACTTGTTTCATCTTTTGAGCACTGATCTTTTTTCTCAGAATTGTTCTCATCAAGATCCACTGAATTCTCAGTAGAGGTTTTTCTTTGGACAGGTTCAAACTTGGGAAACATCCATTGGCCACCATCACCGCTGCGATCAGGTGCTGTCTCTGATATGATGGAACTTTCACTGTGGTTAGAGCTGTCCTCATTGGGCTCAGTCTTCACAGAGAACTGACCATCACCCTGAGAGTTAGAGTTGCTGTTGCTCACCGGATGTTGCTGCTGCTTGGCTCGCATGCGGTGATTGTGAAACCAGTTGATGACCGTTTTCACGCCGACATTCAGTTCGGCTGCCAAACCCTCAATAGTGTTTTGATTTGGGTACGGGTCCTGTGCATATGCTTGCCGCAGGATTTCTTTTTGCTCTTCTGTAAAGAAGATGCGAGGACGTTTAGGGGCAGTTGGTGCATCAAAACAACGATCATCAATGCTGCTCCTGCGTCTTCGTGCTGCTGAAAAAGAAAGACACAATTTGGAGAATCAAAACATTTATGTGTAGTAAATTTTAACAATTTTCTGAGAATCAGAAAGGGAAATAAGAAAATGTTTACAAAAGTTGAAAACTAGGAAAGCAAAGGTAAGATTTTTTGTGCAATTTGATGTTGCAATGTGTGTTGTGTAAAGTAAAAAAGTTTTAAAATTAAATAAGTTAAATTCTACCGATACATTAAAAACTGAAGATATTGTTAAGGTCTAAAAATAAATCAATCTGTTGAGAAATACAGCTGCAACAATTATGAAAACAGCAACAAAGAAATTTTAACTGAAGAAATTCTTTTATTAAGATGATGGAAAGCACACCAGGAAAGCATACATATTAAGAATAAATGTTCAAGATATTTGATAGCCAAGCAAAAAGTACAATAAAAAAAGTTTATCAAGAACTTAGATTAAGACAGTAGATATTTTATAACAAAATGTTTTGTTTTTATCTTCCATATAATATTGCTAACTTACAGAAAATTTTTCTTTTTTTTTTTTTTATTTGAATTTTTAAAAAATAATATGCATAACATACATCTGTGATCTCCATCAGAAAATGTATATGTTTTTAATAAAGTAAATGTTTTCTCATGTGTTGAGTGTTTACATTAGTATTACTTTCCAGCATCCTGTATAGAGCAATGAATGGCTTTGGTCATCAATATAAAATGTCCAATGCTAAGTTAAGCAGTTATTTGAGAATCATTTTATTCTTATATGTATGATAGCTTAAGTGGATGCTCTAAAAATACATACACGAAGAATATTCTTTACTGCTTTTTCGGTCTAATATTATTTGGTAAATATGCTATAATATTACAAGTACTTCAAATAGATTGCTGAACCCAAAATATCTTATAGAAATTGTTACACTCTATATCTGACTTGTGATAATTTACATTTATAACAAATTAGAAGCTGAAAATAGTGTAAGCATTAATCAATAAACCTAAATGTTATAAAACCTTGGCTAATATAATAAACATATCACAGTTTACACTTAAAATACTATTTATATCTTGTAGCTATTATATATGATTTAAATTCTTCATCAAAATTTATCTTAAGTTAATACAAGTGTTATTCTTTAGCCAATGAAGTTTAAATTTGTATCTGATATCAACTATCAGATACAAATTTAAACTTCATTGGCTAAAGGATAACACTTGTATCAACTTAAGATAAATTTTGGTCAAAAGATTAACAAATAGGTGCAAAGACTAATGAATATTTTGTAATTTCTTTTCAAATTTTAAAAAGAAAAAATGGTAAATTAAATATAGCTTCTAACTTAGAAGGTAGTACTTAAATACAATAATATAAATTAAAACAATGTAAGGAACAAATATTTTTCTTTAAATATTTCAAGCAATCAAAAACAAAGTTTTATCATAAAATAAAACATCTTTACATATGCTTATGATGAAATCAAATTTAAAAATAATAAAAAGCAAGTTTTCCATTAAAAGAAAAAAAAAAAAAAGTAAAAATGAAATGATTTTAACGGGTGTAATAAAATCTGTGGATCCACACAGAAGGTACATGATTGGAAAGAATTTTGCTATAATTAAGTCTAAATGTAATTGTATTGATTGCAATAAATTAAGGCAAAATAAAATGTTCAGGTGTCATAATGCTTAGCCAACAGCAAATAAGTGATTAGAGATAAAGTAGTCAAATGATACATTCACCACATTCCTTTAGACACTTTTAATATGAGTAATCAGCACTTAGAATTAAACTTTTTTGGGGAGTTAACTTTAATTTTATTCTGAATTAATTTATACATTGCACAATTACTGAAACAGAGGAAAGGAAAACATTTTTTTACAGTGTGACAAAGTTTCTTCAAGATTTTCCTGTGCAATAAAAATAAAAAGTAAAAAGAAACAACAAAACCCAAATAAAGGCAATTTTTTAGTGACTACTAAAGAACAGAAACAAGACTTTAGAAGAAATTGTAAAAAGAAAAGAGAAATAATAATAATAATAATAATAATAATAATAATAAATAATAATGAAATGTGGAAAGATGGAAATAGTGGGGGAGGGAGTGTTATACTATCAAAACAAAAAAAAACTAGCTGGTCTAAAATGAGATTATAAGAAATAAAGGACAACGTTGAGTACAATAACAATAACAACGATGATCACAACGAGAGCAGAATTGAGAGTGAGGCCTTACACTGAGCGTGCATTAAATAAAATGGAGGAAAAGGAGGACGCAGAATAGACAAAGTGGTTAACTTACTGCAATGACTAGCAGTTGCTGCTGGCAACAATTCAAACCAATCAACACTATTGTAGTCCATTATATCTAAAGAGAGAATTAAAACCTATCTAATCGACAATCAATAATAAATAAAACAAATAATAATAAAAAGTAATATTAAGAAGAATTTGGTTTTCTCTCTTTCTTCCTTTGAAACTGGAAAGAGAAGCAATTTCAGAGTAGAATACCTATTTGAAGAAAATAATTATGAAACAGTTATGTGAACAAGAAACTATCACAAATTATAGAGAGTAATTTTTGTTTTAGAGAACTTAATTGCATACTTGTTCTTATTTCAGCTGATAAAAAGTTCAACTCGACTGAAATAGTGCTAGATTAAAGCTTGTATCTTAGATGAGTTTAGCAGGAAACTTTCTTAAAAATATTATTATTCCAAATATTTGAAACAGTAAATTTTGAAATGTTTGGAAGATTTTCATCTTGTTAAAAATTGGTGATTTAGAAACATTTAAATATAAATTCTTTTCATCTATTATGCGTATGCAAAAATTTTCAACATATTTTTTTTTTAAATTAGAAAACCACTTTTCTACTGTACATTTAGGTTTTCAAGGTGGTGACACTGGGAACTTTTCCATACATCTAATACTTATAGACATTTCTCACTAACTTATCCTTCATGCATTTTAAATAATACATTAATTTTTTTCTATTTATATTAGTTTCTGTTTTAAAATGATATAAATCTGCATGGCTGTCCAGATTCATTACAGGTGATAGTAGGGTGCATATTATAAATAGGTTTAAACAAAAATATTTTTTTTGTTATTAATTTATAATAATAAATACATACTTGTTGTTCTAAAAATAAGAAAGATATTCACTCAATTTTCATTTTAAATCCAACAATAATAATTGTAACATTTTTTTATTAATAAATTTCTTTATCAGTAACTACATTTTTTATTTGGTCAAAAATAAAAAAAAAACTATAAAAAGGCCAATTTCAAAGAGGATATAAAGTTAACAATTTATTGAAATTTTAATTTTCATCATCATCATCACCACTTTCTATTATAGAATCAATATCTAAATTGTCATTCACAATATTATCTTTGTCCTGTTCAAAATTATCTTCAGCCTCTTCATTCTCTTTCCAAAGGATGTCATCTTCAGAGCCATCCATGGCTGTCATGAGACAACACTTCTTGAAACCTCTCTTTATAACATCCTCACTGATGGAATCCTAAGATTCCTGAATCCATTTTACAATAAGTTCCAACTCTGTTTTTTCCCCGTTGCCACTAGCAGTAAAACTGGGAACATCCAGTCATTCCATTTTTTATGCATCTCTTATTTAAATGGATGGTTGCAGACAACATCCATTACTTGAAGTTGGCCAATCATTCCTCCCGGTATAATAACAAGATCAGTCCTCTTCTCCTGAAGTATATTCTTCATGCAAGGCATCCTATGGCAATGAAATGCATCAAGAACCAACATATGTTTACTTCTTGCAAATTCTGTTCTGTGTTTACACCAAACATTCAGCAGTCAGTCCTTTGTGAGATTCTCATTCATTCACTCTTTTTCATGACATTTTACTATCATACTGGCTGAGCACTCAATGTTTTTGGCAGAGTTTTCCATGTAAAAATTACGTAAAGGGGCATCTTCTTACCATCACCATATGCACCAAGCATGACTGTGAATCTATTCTTCTCATTTTCAGTTGTTTTTATTGGAACAGACTTCACCCCTTTAAATTCCAAACAAGGCACATCAAAAGTCAAGTTGGTCAGCATTTCCAATACAGCCTAAAGGATAAGTGTGCATTTTTCTTAGCTGAATAACAAAACATTGAAAATTCAAAAGTTTATCTTTGTAGTCATCAGGCAAATGCTGGGCTATGGATGTCCTTCTCCTAATAGATATATCAAACCTCTTCATAAAAAGAAAACATCAGTTTGCTGAAGCTTTAAATGTTTCCAGGATACATGGTTTTCATAAATTCTTTTGCTTTCATTCTTATTTCCACAGTACTTATGGAACATCCACTTGATCGTCTTTCTTTCACAAATTCAACTAAACTTTGTTCCGTATCTGGATATTGAGTTTTTCTTCCTTATAGCTTTGGTAATTGATTTACACTTTTTTTAGTTCATTTTTATTCTTTCTCCATAAACGTATATTAGGCTCATTCTCTAGCTGTTTCCTATTCTTTCTGCTAATTCTATTACTTTTTGTTTAAAATTTGCACTATAACTTGCACATTTTGACGGTAAGATAAAATGTTATATTTATCGGGAAAACCGCATGTAATTTTCAACATTATTTTAGTCGCTTAGTTTTGATTTTATTCTTAATGTCAAGGTCGGCAAAATGTCTTCGTAATTATTTTTTTGTCTTTTTTTACAAAATTTATAGATGCGTATTATACATAGGGATAAATATATTTCTTAATTTTTGGATCATTTGTTGGGGTGCATATTATTTTTGAGAAATTACAGTAAGTCAAATATTTGACGTAATTCTAAATTCAATCTATTTATGAATAAGACAAGGTTTCAATTCAGCTTATATAAAATTGACAAGATTAAATTCAAATACAGTCTTAAAACATTATTTTCTCAAGTTAAAATATTTCCAAAATTAAGCATGAACAAGAAATATTTTCTTTTATTTGCTTCTCTCAAAGTGAACAGAAGAACATATATTAGTTACAGCAATCATTTT